AAAGACGAACACGAGTACACAAAGAAAAAAAGTTTCATATGAAGATTTTTTGTTCCATCAAAGTACGCAAGTGGCCGCCGTATAATGAAGGCACAATTATTGCGTAATAGAATCAATATTACCTTAAAAAAACAAGACAATATTACATCAAAATGATTTAAATCGTTTCTCTCTCTCTCTTTTTCTCTCTCTCTCTCTCTCTCTCTCTCTCTCTCTCTCTCTCTCTCTCTCTCTCTTTCGCTCCCCCATTTATTTGTTTCTCTCTTGCCATATATATTGTAGGAGCAATTACGTAATCGAAACCAAAGACAACCATCTGAACATTTGTGTCTCTCTACCTGGACAATCGCTCAGTCAACATTTATCTCTTCCTATATCTCTTATAAGACCAATCAACTTCCTTCGCTGGAACGATACTCTTGCAGCACCTCACGAATAAAAAACTCGTTGCAACACTTTGCGACGATACTCCTCGAAAGTTCCGAATAGACTCTATCATTGCCGATTGTAATCGAGATGAATTACAACATCCACACACCTCCAAGTGTTCATGCTGGTATTCAATTCCTCCGCTGCTTCCACAATATCTTGAATCCTATGAGAACTTTCAAGATGGGATAGGTGTGCAGGTGTCGTTTTCGGACCAATAGATTCAAGACAGTCACATATGGTAATGTTAAAATTACAAGAACTTGGTTGCCCCAAGGGTCTTATATAGACGTGCACATGGTTTATTGATGGTGTGAAAGCGGGCACAACACAACTGACAAGAGACGGAGTAGTCTTAGCGGCTGGCAAAGCGGAAACAACAATAGAGGTAGTGACAATCGGCGTTGATATATTGGATAGTGGGGCAAAATTCGCAAGACGTTGAAAGTTTGAAGGAGATATTGTTGGAAGGGGGAGTCTACGGACCGGAGCGGAATGAGGAGCGGAAGAAGCAACCACGGGAGGAATCCTTTTGAGAAGGTTCTGTATCCTTGCATCACTGTGAAAGGGATGAGGAATTGTCCCTTCGGTCGGACAATGTGGCAAATGAATTGTCATCCTAGTAATCTCCTCATTAGAGAGAGCAACAAACTCATCGGCCAAAAACGATTGCAACATAGAAGAAGCTTCCAAATCCGTTGAATGTTGTCCTTGCATCTCTGTGAAAAGGATGAGGAATTGTCCCTTCGGTTGGACAATGTGGCAAATGAACTGTAATCCTAGTAATCTCCTCATTCGAGAGAGCAACGAACTCATCATTCAAAAGCGATTGCAACATGGAAAAAGTTTCCAAATCTGACACATTCAACGGGTCTGAAGGAAGAGGGGATCGTCGTTCCAGCCGCATATCAGTGATTTTGTTTCTTTTCCAGTCGAGGAAGTTTTTCAACATTCGTCCATCTTTTACGACTGTGGCACTTTTGACAAAGATTTCAAAAAGCACCTCAATCAAGACATTTTGCATGTCAACCCTCTTCTCACTGTCAAACCATCTAGCAAGGTAAGTGCGCGGATTCGAAATGCGGATTGTGGGTGCATCGTTATCATTGGGCATCACAATAACCCCCGGAGGATTTTATGGTTGCGATGTGGCGCAAACATCTCTTTCATGTGCACTGCTTTGAGATTGCGAGCATGAATCATGAACACGTGCACGTCCAACGACCCGTGCACAACATGGAGGAGATGCAAGTGCACCGTCAGGAAGCACATTCAGCGCTCTCATAATCTGAGTTTTTGTTTCATCAACAATAGGTTGTCGTCCCACTTGATTATCAACAGGTAGGCTCTGGCACTTCGGAGGAACCCAAAAGATTTGTTTTCTCACCATAACTCTTTGTCCTCTTGAATGTAGATTCAACAGTCTTTTTTTCAATCGTCCGTAATATTATCATTCTCATCATCGGCAAATGCAAAGTTAATAGTCTTACCCGACATACGTCAACGCAAACCATCCCCATCAACACGACAATCGTCACCACCCCTATTCACAACCACGTTCTTAGCATCAGCAAAGGTATTCATTTGCAAACATTAATGTTTAACTTCACAAAAAAACAGCATGATCACCCTAAACATGTTCACTTTCAAGATTCACCGATCTCTCATCATTTCCAGTTTTCTTTGACCTCTCTGAATGTTCGGCTCCAACTTTTGACGTAATATTCGGATTATGTGGAGTGGTATTATTGGTCCTCTTAACTTTCCTCTTGGCACGAGTGTCGTAGGTATGGCGCATTCGGGAGTTGCCTGCGAAGAAAGAATATGATGAAATTAATTGAAATGTTAAGGATCGATAAAAAAAAAGAACTTTTTGTCCTAAAAGTTCATAATACACAATATTCTTCGGCAATTTGTTTTTCTCAAGCAGCGCAAAACGAATGTTGTTGGAATGACCAACACTCGACAAAGCAATGTACAGTTGGTCATACGTAAAAACTTTCGAACGTGATACAGTTTGTCCTTCTTACTTATTAATCGTCACAGCAAAAGCAAGACGGACTAGAAATTGTCTCCTAAACCATTTGAACTCGGTGGTCTCACCATCGCTTGTGAGATCAATCTTGGGGATCAGTGTTGTCTTACCGGTGCGCATTATTGTCACTTCCAACAAATCATCATTAACGATCTTCTTTAAAATCAAACTTGTACCATTGCAAAGTCCTTGCTTCGGGTATAAATTTTACAAAAGCATCACGGACGCACCAATTTTCAAGCGCAGCTTGTGAGGTGGAAGGCCTGATTCATTGAGAAAGTTTAAAAACTTTCTCTCAATACCAAGTCCGGTATCATCCGAATCAAGATAATCAACGCTGAAAAACCCACTCACCTCCCCAGGGAAATCATCAAAAACATGGTTGTTAACAAAATCCACATCGTCATTAATAGGGCCAAAAATTAATCGAGACGATAAATACTTGACATCCCCCACGTGGTTGGACACATCCTTAAATGTTCATGAAATCAACTCATCAATCAGTTTATCTGTACAAATCTCAAGAGGCAATTTAATTGCAGCACGTTCATTAGGAACAACGCGAGGATGATCACCATTCCCAACACGCATTAAAAAGTAGGCATACATTTGTGTCATTTCATCATCACCTAAGCTTAAGATTCACATATTGTGAGTTAGTTGATGAACCTTAAAAATTATCCACAAAGGAGATATTTTCATCGACACAACAATTTGTTGCGCTAGCGATCTATGTTTCGCAACGGGTAAAACCTGTCGAAAATCACCAGCAAGAAGTATAACTTTTCCACCAAACGGCTCGTCACTGTTACAGAG